AGCAGGAGGACAGACAGCTTTCACTGGGGAAAGCAAGGGAGAGATTTGCTGCGTCACTCTGAGTTCCTCCACTACATGGAGCTGAATCCCTCTTTATACTGAAGTCTCTAAGCTCAGCAGAAAGACAGCGGGGTTTCAAAGAAGGCACTTGGTTTGTTTGTTTATCAAGAACTATGTCCTCCGGACATTCCAGTTCTACTGAGCACTTTAACTGCTTCAGGTTCCTTCCTACTGAAGGGCACAGTTAAATGTGCGATGCAACATCTCACCAGCCCACCATCTATGTAGCGGGCATAGAGGCAGTTTGACCAACACATTATTTCCCCTTTAAAATCAGTCTTGCTTTCGTTGGATACAGTTTCCTAACAAAACACTGTGGAACCACTCCCGCAAAAAAGCAATTGTTTTCTCGTGGTCTCAGCACAAGGACATTGCAGATTCCGGCAGTATCTGCTGTAGACACCCTGGCCCTGTGCTGCATAATAACCCAATGAAAACAGCCAGGCCAGGCTCTGGCCTGACTAGTTGGTGCCTATTGACAGTAGAGTGGCTGCTGCTCCGCTCAATACGCTCACCTTGCCTGAGCTTATGCTCCTCCCCATGCCAGCAGACACATAAAAGCCTTTTCTATTCATAGCAGGGACACTGTCGCAGGCTCCTAGGTGAGAGGAGGAATGCTTAATGCTGTTCCAGAGATCTCCGACACTGCAGCTCACTGGCTGGCAGTGGGGTGGGCTGCATCATTAGTTAGGAGAGAGGCTAGTGTTTGGGTTGGTAAAGTGTAATAATTCATTTTGGGGGCTGCTGTTACTCTAGGTCATCACTGGACCCTGTGTTCATGGTCTATGTTAGGCAGGAAGCACCAAACTCTTGGAACAGAGTAGGGGGGAAAGTAGGGATCCTGGACAGGCCAGGATGAAATCAGAAAAAGAAAAGTTGATGGAGCCACTGCAGCATGTGGATGTTGAGTAGTTTTGTGAAGTGGGGTACACTTATTGAACTGGAGAGTGACAAAACCAAACAAGAACAGTACAGAGTGCTGCAGGTGTGGGAGCATTGTCTCACTTGCCCACATAACTAGTTACCTTTTTATAAGTACAAGTTAAATCAACAAATACATATTTCCTTCTGAATCTTAAAAATAAATGTTTATGATTAAAGAAATTAGTCAGCCCAGCCCCCCATGCCCTCTTATTCAAAGTGCAAGCATTCCACTCTGGTGGAAGGGCCATGCCAGGACCACATTTGGCTACGTGTGCGGTTTTGCGACAGCTTATGAAACAGGCTTTGCATCTCCTCCTCCCAGCTTTCGTGCTTAGCTATAAACTGCCTTATAAAGAGAGTTACTGTTACGAGGCAGGCAAGTGACTGTTTTTTTCTGAACTTTTACTTTGTCTAATATGTTTCAGATTTCTGCAGTCTCTGCCAAACTTTTCCATTCCTTTTTTTTTTTTTTTTTAGAAGACATAAACCAGTCTTATGACTGGAATGGCATAGCCAAGAAAAACAATCTAGGGCTGATTTTTTAGCATTACATAACAAGGGGTCAGTCTAAGAAAAAAATCTATGTCCAAAGCAGCAGGTTGAGCGCCGTTTGCGCAGCAAAGAATTCGAGGTCTGAAGAGAGGAACTAGAGAAACCAAGCAACTGGTGTAGGAGATCTACATCTTTTCATCTCTGAGTCAATATTTTACAGCTCTTCTGAGCTGACAATATTTGAAAGCTACAGTGTTTGGTTTAGCTTTTATAAAGACTTCATTATATGAGTTTCATTTGTTCTGTACATGGAAAAAAATGACGTCATTCTAACTGGTGGTCACAAAGAACACAAGGAAAGAAGAGATGAAAGACCACTCTCCCAAGCCTAGCAGACCCCCAGCCCCCACCCCATCTTGAATTTAATGAAAGCGCTGCATGGAAAAGCTTGCATTTCCACAGTCTAACACTGTGTATGTTGAACACAAAAACGATTCCACTATCTAGAGAACTCCATCTGGCGTCTTTCACCATCAGAAACTTTCAAAATAAAGGCAGAATACAGCTATTCAGCACTGTATGTCAGGAATGACCTCTTCCTGCTCCTTCACCTCCCCCGGCAAATTGCCACCAATTGCTGTTACCTTCCATTCTGGCTGACCAGTACGAAAAGTTCAGGTGCTACTATTTTAAGTAACTTTTAAGTATGCAAGTTCTGTTTATTATTACATATTAATTAGAATCATTATCATATCTACAAGCTTATGTGAAACATCTGCAAACGTACCTTCATCTGCTTGACTGTGTATCGCATCGTTCCAAATGGTCCATCTTTCATGAGCTTCTTCCCCACAACTTTAGCTCGGATCACTGCCATAAGAGAGGAAAAATACAACAAATTATAAACAACTTTACACAACATTTAGGTTAGACCCTCCACCTCAAAAAAAGCCACTTAGATAAACTGTTCTGTAAAATAAAACAAAACTCCAGGCCAACATTCCTCTCAACTTATTCTAAATCTCACACACAATGAAGGAATGTAAAATGGGATGCCAAAGCAAGAGGAAATCCAGTTTTGTGTGAAGAATAAGAACAAGCATTATTTAGGTTGAAAACTCGCTGAAATCTGCAAATCAGACTATAGCTAGGACCAACACAGGTTAAAATCTTTACACTAAGCCACTGAGATGAAGTTCAAATTTGATGCCTTAACTCTCAACATAAAGAATGATGTTCAACAAGACAGTACTTTTAAACTGTTCTTTCGGTGCCAATGCAGGTTCTGTTTTCCAATAACCACAACAATGCAGTACAGCGCACTGGAATATCCCATATCTGGGGATTTCACTACAGCTGCCACCTTCCAGATACCACAAAACTCCCAACAAATGGCTCCCCTGAACAAATGGCTACTGTGCAAAAACAGATTGTTCAGCAACCATCAAGTCCACAGCAAAAGCTGCCAGGCCAGCCAGAAGCTGCCTGGAAGATAAACTCAATCTGACCCCTCAGACCTTACGTGCACTGCACTTCATTTCTTCCTGAATACTAAGGGGCAGTGTGTGTGCATGTGTGCCTGACAGAGATACCTCCACTGTACCACAGACGCGCCACAGTAATGCCAGCTGAGCCCAAGACATTATAAATAACGATTTTGAGGTCACTCAGACGGATCTAGTGGGTATTTTACAGTCAGTGCTTAACGAAGAGTTCTCTTGCTCCTCTGTTTTGGGCGTATTCCAGAAAAACACTACTGTTCCATCCATCCTCTTTGAAAAAGTTCTGCAATCACCTGCTCACCTCACTAGAGGAGCAAAGTTTAGTGACAGGGCAGGCATTACTCAGCTGAAGTCCACTGCCCTACAACACACACATCACATTATACAGGCACCAGAAGTGGCTGCAGACAGGCTGCAGAACATGAGATTGAAGAAGACCAGTCCTGGGAAGAATAAGAATCACTGTTAGAAAACCCTGTACCCCAAATGCCACTCATACAAATAACAAAAAATAAAACAAGGAACTCAAAATTCCATCACCCAAGAGAAATATCAAAATTACTATATAGCCATGCAAATCTTACCTAAAGTCTTATTCATCAAGCTTCTCATTAAAAGGGCTATAAAAATTATTCCCGCAGAATAATCCAAAGAATGCAACATACTCATAACACACTTGACAATGTATAGTTATATATAAATTCCCCAGAAACCACTTTTTTGTGTATGCAAGAGGAGATATGAGCTACTTTTGCATAAAGTTTGTATCGGTACACCACTGCAAACAATACACCTCCGGTGAATATATGGCCCAATGGTTCCAGACTTCTGAAACCGAGCAACTAAATCGGACCACATACATCATTTCCTCTGAGCCTATGAAGGTCCTGATCTTAACTCCCTGCACAGGACAGAGGTACTGCTTTCACAGCAATCTTCTGCTGCATTTCATCTGTGTTTTGCTGAATGTATCATATTAATGCATCACAGAAAACAATTCATTAAAAAGCAGGAAGGCATGGAAAGGAGTCAAAGAGGTGGACGTACTCCTTTGCAAGCAGGAATACCCAATGAGTTATTTGCATTATAACACTATCTAAAAGCAGCAGCAAAGTTCGGGGATCCATTTTGCTAGGTATATAGGACATTAAACAAGCACCTTGTTGCTTCTTAGGTCATTTAGGTTTCAGACAGCTGTAGAACACCACTGGAAGAAATGGGAAAAAAGATGAGGCTAAGTTTTTGTTCACTACCTAAACCAAATTAACGAGGCAAAAAGCTTGTCCCAGTTTTCTAAAGAACAGATTTAAAGGAAGAGATAGGTCAGGTTATGCACACCAGTTCCTGGAACAAGTTCCAGGAGGTTGGTGTGAAATTAAGACAAACTCACTCTGCTCTGATTTACATCCTGTGCTTCAGCCAGGCTTGTCAAATAAATTTTGAACGAGGTAAGACAGTCCTGCTGGCTTTGATTCAAAGGACCAACAAAACCTTCATTCATTCAGTGTAAAACTTCATTCTTAATTTTTTTTTTCAAACTTCTACTATCCAATGGCAGTGAAAGCCAGTACAATTTGATTGATTCTCCTATTTAACAAGTTGTTCAGACTTCAGTTTACTTTCTTCTTCAAAATTTCATAGCCATATTGAAGCATGTCCTTGAGAACTGCAAATATCTTTAGAGTGAGGTTCTTCCATGGATTGCCCCCAACCACCACAACCACTAGCGTAACTATAAAAAACAGACTGCCTAATGGTCAATGAAAAAGAACAGAATTTCTTTAAGGCTTTAGTGAATTCCAGGGCACTTCACTAATGCTGGAGTCTCTAGCAAAGGGTATCAAAAGTCTTTATCTGTTGCATATGTGATACGCTGAAATTGAAAAACCTGCTGTTTGCCCAACACATCTGAAATCATCAATGAAATCTTGTATGTTATTGACAGTGATAAGAAATATACTAAATGGCAATATTGCAAAATGCTAGTGTTTTCAAACCAGAACACAGCATAAAAGATGACAGGAACATTCCCAATTGCTGACAAAATACCTAAAAACCCATTTTCTTCATGTACTTCACTGCTAACTTGGCAGCCATTTAACTTCTAACTAGAGTAGCACAGCCACTTCAGAGAGAAACCAGCTTTGATTTATGGACTAATCCACAGCTTCAGCCCAGGACCAAAGATTCCAAATGCGCATCTACACTAGCATGTAACAGCATCCCAATTTCAACCAATGCCACCCTTGCAAGCAGGTGGAAGAATCTGTATTTTTGTATTTTTATTCCCCAGTAAAGTTAGAGAAGATCAACCATCCAATAAAATCCCCCTAGTCAAAACAATGAAAAACCTTAGTGTGGGCCATCACTTCAAGCCCTTCGTAAAAGGGTCAAGCCCTCTATCTCAGGGAAGTTGCCTTTATTATCCAAATGGTAACTTATCTAGAAAAGTTCCTTACTTTACCAAAAAGCTAGGCACAAACAAAAGAGCCCACCCTGCCTCCTTTTTCCCATTTTAAAGGAAAAGTCAAGCTGTTGGCCAAGGAGCAGAGGATACTCCAGCTTAAGTCTACCCCCTGTATTTTCTGAGGCTAAATTCCCACCCCTGACGACTAGATGCATCTGGGTAACTGGAGAGAAATGCTGAATGGGCAGGACTGCTCAGAGGCTGCTCTTGCCCATCCAGCTTCATCACCCTAAGCCTCCACGCATGAGAGCCACTTGTAGACCTGCCCAGAACAGCGCTTCAAGCTGCAGATCTGCAGTCACGTTTCCCAGTTCCTATCTTTGTTCCTTCAAACCACCACTCACCAGTTATACTGCTGGACCACTCTTCACACCTGGTCAGCAAATGAAGAACATTGCTCCTAACTGAGCGGGGACCATGCATACTTGCCTGAGGAATTTTTCACCCTCTGCAAATTATCAGAAATTTACAGTATTTCTGCTGTAAATTCAGTCTGTGTTATATTAACGAAGTTAACTGTTTACTTCTGGGGACTCCTACTGCTTGAGCAGAATGAGGCAAAAAGTGCTGTGACTGCTGCCCTGAACTCCTTCCTTCTCCCTGAAGCTCTATTACAGTCCTGCTATGACTGATGGGAAACTTTATCCCACACAAGTGGTCACCAAAATAGCTGCATACTTTTAAACCACAATTCCTTTGAAGTACTGCCTATGAAAATACTCCAAGATGAATGTTTCTCAATAATTTGGGGTTTCAGGTCGGGTCACTTTGTGGGACTGGAGCAGTTGGCAAGGTCTCATGAGTGATTTGTAATTATTTATGAAAAGTTAAATTAGATGAGGATATAAATCTTGATAAGATAAGCATGGCAGCCACACCAGGATTCAAAGAGGAGAAAACATATGCGCTGCTTCTCAACATTCAACATGATTAAAAAAATGAGGGAGAGAACAGAGAGAAAGAAAACTGGATATTTAGTTGATATTCCAAAAAAATATTAAGAAAATAACAACCTGCTGTGTTACATCTTTTCCAAGTGTCACTGGATGAGGTCTTATAAAGGTAAAAAAATCAGAATGGGCATAGAAGAAAAAGGCCCTATATGCACATTTATTTGCCCAAACGCACATGTATCTCACTCAAGTGCTCTTTAATTTTATTCCTTACTTTGTGGCCATTTTCTCAAGGATTCATAGGCAGAATAGGCCTAAAGGTAAGACATGAAGCAGAAGAGGACACTGGCTTTACCGCTGAGATAGCAAAAGGCACTCAGAGGGTTGTCATCAGCGGCGCTGAGTCTAGTTGGAGGCTGGTGACAAGTGGTGTCCCTCAGGGGTCAGTACTGGGCCCAGTCTTGTTTAACTTCTTCATCAACGACCTGGATGAAGAGTTAGAATGTACCCTCAGCAAGTTTGCTGACGACACCAAACTGGGAGGTGTGGTAGATACACCAGAAGGCTGTGCTGCCATTCAGCGTGACCTGGATAGGCTGGAGAGCTGGGCAGAGAGGAACCTGATGAGGTTCAACAAGGGCAAGTGCAGGGTCCTGCACCTGGGGAGGAACAACCTCATGCACCAGTACAGGCTTGGGGTGGACCTGCTGGAGAGCAGCTCTGCGGAGAGGGACCTGGGTGTCCTGGTGGACGACAGGTTAACTATGAGCCAGCAGTGTGCCCTGGCTGCCAAGAAAGCCAATGGGATCCTGGGGTGCATCAAGAAGAGTGTGGCCAGCAGGACAAGGGAGGTTCTCCTTCCCCTCTACACTACCCTGGTGAGGCCTCATCTGGAGTACTGTGTCCAGTTCTGGGCTCCCCAGTTCAAGAAGGATGAAGAGCTACTGGAGAGAGTCCAGCGGAGGGCTACAAGGATGGTGAGGGGACTGGAGCATCTCCACTACGAGGAGAGGTT